TATTTTATTCATTCATTCATAACTTAAGAGCAGCGCTCTTGTCGCTGGAGTTCTCGCCATTTTTCACGATCCACCATCAATCTCTTTAGTTGTTGATACGACACGACTCCAACTTTTTCCTTGATCTGCTTATTACACATTATTATTTACTGATGGAGATATTCAGTGGATTATATACAGCAGCAAATATAATTTATTCTCGATCTGATTCAGTTGCAGGTTACATATCAGCTTTTACTTAGCAACATGATTACTTATTTTAAATGAGAAGGATTACACTTTTTCTTTTTAAAAAAATTTATTGAATAAAGATTATTTCTATTTCTATACACGTATTAAGTCATGGTAATACATCTACATACAAATAAATAAAATTGAAGTGTCTGTTTGTAATATCAAATTAAAAGTTTTTCAAATAAATATATATGAAAACATATACGGTAATTACATTAAAAAAAAATTATAAAAAAAATTACAGTCTATTTATTTTTCTAATCTCAGAAACGCTGAAGCATTTTTAACGGAACTTTTACTTGCACATAGCTAATCTTATAAGTAACTTGACTACTTTTATTTTTTAAATATTATTTATTTTAATTCCATGCGGACGTAATTAATATTAAGAGGTAATATAATAAAATCATTACTATCTAAAAATATTCTACAACGTTATATTGTATCATAAACATAATATAACAAAAAAATTGTAATACATAAAAATGAAGCCTGTTCAACTCGTTTGAAAGCGCTATGGACGCGACATCGCGTATGAATTCTTACTTCTTGCCAGGGCCGTCTTTCACCTATTAGAGGCCCTGGGCATATTAGGATAACGGGGCCCCTATGACCATTGTAATAAAGCAGTATTTTGTTAGTGTTGATAATTATGAAATGATTAGATACTTATGTACTTTATTTTAACAAAAAGACATCTTTTATTGCCTAAAAGAAAAGAATCATAGATAAAAAAATAAACAGAGAACACAAAAGTTGTACAGAGTAAGTTACTTTAAAGATAGAGATTAATATATTCTAACAGTTAGAACAGACAGTCATTTTTGAACATGTCAAAAAAAGTTTTGACAGCCAAAGGGCTGTTTAGAGATAATCTTTAAAAATGCATAAGGGGATGTCCTACCTTCAAAACAAACCAGGCAAAAATAATTTTAAAAAGCCGTTATATGATCAGGGGTTCAAGTTCTTACAAGATATTTATAAAAAAAAATTAACAAAATCGAAAATTGACAAATTGACTATACTCGGTAAGCATTTGTTAAGACTTATTTTCAGGCGAGTGTAGAGTAGCTATCGGTTTTCGTTTGGTAATGGAGTACGGACTAGACATGACTAGGAGGCCCCAATCTATCGCGGGGCCCTAGGCACGTGCCCAGTGTGCCCAGTGGGGACGAGGGCCCTGCTTCTTGCCGTTCATGTATTCGTATGAATTCTGACTTCTTTCTGTTCTTATATTCTTATTACTGTGTCTTTTGGCAGCGTAGCAATGAATGTGGAATGTTTCTTTGAGCTCGCAATACAAATTGTTGTGCTCTGCCACCAGTGACATTCTGTTCATTAAACTTGTTCACATTTCACTGTTGTTAGCGGCAATGAATACGTGAATGTATATTTTTATTCTGTTTAACGAGCACGTATAGCGGTTGAGAATATCATATTGATTTTGCAAAGGTATCAGATTCAATTCTCGTATAGTATTAATGTTTGTATTTATGATTATATATATCTGTTTATTTGTAGAAAACCGCAATTTTTTTTATATTCATTCATTTACAAAAAAAAAAACGGAAATATTCACATAAATTTAATATTTCTAGGAGTAAATACAGTGTAATAAAAATATACGTATGTATATGTTATCAGATTCAGAAGTGGTATATTTAAATTTGTTGAATAAATATTTATTTATCTGAATAGATTTAAGTAAATCGGGATATATTCTCTACACACGAGTATACACAACAAATTCAAACAAATTTCATACATCTAGTGTAGTAAAATGTATTTAAAAAAAGAACTATTAGATCGCCATCTTGGCCCCCTTGATTTAATGACATCCAAAGTCGTAAAACGTATTGATTTAAAAAAAAGTATTTTGAGATTACGATCTGGGTGCGTTAATTTGTTAAATCATTAAGTGAATAGAAATCAGAGAAGTATAAAGAACAATTGTTTGTTGAAATAATAAGAATGTAACCTCAAAATCGACTCTTAGTTCCAGGAATCTGATATGAATCAAACATTTTTAGGCGGGCATCAGAGAAAAAGGGTTCCGTACATTAGATTAGGCACGGGAAGACGGAGAGCTAGTTAAATCAATTTCAGAGGGTCAATGCCGATGGAAACTCTGTTAGTTTTTGCTTAGACTGTACATTCTGGACACACACAAAAACAAATAAATTTCATTATAGACTGAACATGAACTTTTGATTGAATAAAAAAGATTAAACAAAAAATGAAAAATATATTTTGGTGCGCTCCCTTACCACTAAGTACTACTTAAAAGTAGTTTACGTTATATTCTCGGCTCGACTGAATATACACACAATATTTCATAAGAATCGGTCAAGCCGTTTCGGAGGAGTTTTATTACCAAACACTATAACACGATAATTATATATTACATGGATTCTTGTAATGAATTCTATGTAACTTGCTTAATCTTATCAATTTTTTATTTGTTTAAATTTATATGATACGCGTGCGTATATAGTGCCATCAGATATTTATTAAAATTACGTTTTCTTACTTTATTCTTGATTTCTTTGTAATGATAAAACTACTAGTGTTTGTTAAACAAGATTGTCTAGATTTACAAATTCAAATTCAAAAATCATTTACTCATATAGGACACTTTAACCTCAAAATTTTTATATTACATTTTTTCCCTACCTACTGAACTAGTAGACAGATTGAATTGGGAAGAACTGGTAAGAAACTCAATTGAATTTCTTATTACTATTATTTATAATATTAGTATATTTTCCTTGCTTTTTTAAGCAAGAAAGAAAATATACCTAGACAATCTATTAATTAATACTTTCCCTTGACTAGGCACATTTTGTTTGGAATTTCCAAAAACTAGTCACGTAATAGGATACCCAAAGCCACATTTGACGGCCACTAGCTGATTGGGACAAAGAAATTGACTTCGGCCAGAGGTATAAAGGAATATGTTAAGGTTATACGAGGCGCCTTCCTGATAGGCATAATACTGAACCAAATCTACTCAAATGTAGGTACATTCTATTTATAAACAGACTCTAACATTCATCTAATATTTAAGTATTAGTCTGTCTTGTTACAATCTTGTACATTATCGTTTCAAATGAGTTAGAAACGAGTTTTTTAATAGTTTTTCTAGACTCTTAACTACATAGCGAATTAACTATAGATCTAACTTTTAATACTTACAATAATAAACCGGCATTATTAAAGTATTTTCACGTGAGAGATACCTGAGAGATAAAATGCAAGAGAGAGTGAAATTATAGCAATGTATGATAGTCTTTAGCTTAGCAATACATTTACCCTAAAAATAATAAGTAAATTACCTAGGTAATTTCAATATTTGGTACATCTTTAAAACGGAATACAATTTTGGAAACGAATTAAGCGTTTGCGGTAAAGTCTACTAATAGAAAAACCACAGTAAAATATTTTAGAACATAAACAAAAGCAATAAAATGAACATTTAAACAACAAAATACATACTCAGCAGCTCCAAATTACATGCTAAATTTCTAGAGTCATTTTCCATTAGTTGTTAAGTAAATTTAGTGTCCTTATAATGTTAGACCTACCATAAGAGTCACTGGCAGTTTTTATATTCATTTATCCATATTTAAAATATTAGAGTTCTTTTTATATATTTTGTCTTATATCACTTCTATCCCTGCGATCTGCTGTAATAAACAAAACTGTGTAAAACTCTGCTGTAACAAACAAGCATCTCTCTAATTCATTAATTTTTACTTATAGTCTATCCTTAATTGTGGAAAACTAAAACGTCCCGTCGTCTCGGACATAAGCCCAGTCTTTTGTATAATTAGAACCATATTATTCTATTCTGTACCAGAAAAGCCATCTACAAACGGGGCGCAGCTGTGCAGTAAAATGCCATTTTGTTTTAGCACATAGCGTGTTTAAATTATTCAGTTGTAACTTGAAATTCCTCTAAGATAAGACAAGATAGACTATTTCCTCTTATTATGAAACGGGTTTGATTCATTACTAAAGCACCTTTCGTAGTCAGTTTTTCGGGAAATCAGATATATTTCTACCATTTCATTGCCTGCGTCCTTCGGTTGCTTTTATCACATCATATTAATGAGACTAAGGGAAGAGAGAAAGAGTTTCTTTACCTCTTATGTTTCAGGCGTCCATAAGCTATAGTAATAATTTACCATCAGAGGAGCCGTATGCTTGATTACCACTATCGTGATACAATAATATGACAATTTTCTTTTCGGAATTTCTTGGTACTTTGTGCATATATCGATAAGTGATTTACAGTTTGCTGATAGGCTGACATTGAAAGACCATGTTATGATTCTGTACTGAATATTCACAATGTAATTAAGATTGTTAACAAACAGGTAACAGAAAAATTTCGTTTTCAATATGAGAATGGTTAATCGGATCTCGGAGTTTATTTCTCTGTCACACGATGGACACGGCTTCCACATAGTGAAACTAAAGTTCATCTCTTTGATCTCTAAATCTTTCGACTAGTTTACACTAGCTGTAGTCACAAGGTGGTCAAAACGTCAAGAGTTAATACCTAATTAAACATATTAATTGTTGCACTGTTGTATTGGGCATATGCCTGTAAGGATAGTGTGTATATAAATAAATAAATAATAATGTATACTAAACAGAAAAGTATAAAAGAATCCAAATGGATTCTTCAACGTGAAACTTCGCATATTTAAACCACAAGGACAATAATTTACCGTATTAACATTATCTTATTTTGTCCACAGCAAGTGACCTAGAGTCGATACGAGCGCTATTCAATGAGAAGGAGAAAGAACTGTCTGTGGCGGTGGCCAAAGTGGAAGAGCTGACGCGGCAGCTCGAGGAGTTGAGGAGAGGGCGCACTCAGCCTGCGCCGCCCTCCGCTCATGAGCTGGACAAACTCCGCCGGGAGCTTATGGTGAGTAATCTTAATAAGATTGAAAACTAGTTTTTTTCCGGATTACTCTAATACTGTTGGCCGTAGATGGCTATTACAGCCTCACCGGATGATAGGTGGTGAGTGCAGATGGCACTTCAAACTTGTGAAAGGACTTATGGAGCAGCTTAAGGCCAAATTCAGCCTGACGATTACGATTTTAGTTTAAAGGCATCGTCAGGGGTTCGAACCTTTGAATCGAAATTACGGTGGCTTGAGCCGTCAAGCCATCGTAATTTCGATTCTCGTTTGAATTTGACGGGGAATCCACGGAAAGGGTTTATTTTTGATCTTTAGTTTCTAATAAGTATTCAATTTAGCACTTGTAATGTTCTTCAAATGAAAGAAGTATCTAGTGTAGGTATTATAGTTAAAATTTACTTGAATTCTATTATATACATTGAAATCTAGATTAATTTAGATGGTTTACTTTTTGACCAATAGCTTTTGGTATCTGATAAGTATGTTTCTAAAATTAAAGAAGAAATCTTTTCCAAACATAAATTGAACTCAGAAATATGTATGTAAATGTAAATGTGTAAAACCGTAAGTAATTTGGGTGTACGTTGTAACTTCTTTTATCCCTGGACAATTGACACAGCGTCATCTAGTCGAGCAGAATTTGTGTTATGGGTAGACAACTGATATAATTACATGTATAACTATTGTACATACATAATATACATACACCCAGACCAGTATAAACTGCAACTATCGGAAGTAAAACGGCACTGTGGCCGTCAAATAATAAAGTATATGCTTCTCTTACGAGGAGATGCCCATGCTTAGCACTAAAGCACTAATTGGATGTTAATGATGACTGTCAGACAGCCGTGAACTTCTTGATCTATTGTACATAAAGAACAATTTTCCGTTACCATTGGCAATAATCGACAAACTTCAGGTTTCCAAATCTTCTCGAATCTCTTCAAAATTCACAGTGAATGTGTCTAATTGGACGGTTCCAATTATACCCTTATTAATGGCAACTAAACCTCATTAATACTCATTAACAAAGAACGGAACAAATTAAAGTGTTCATCTTAATTACACCACTGGTTTCGCAGTTAGCAACGGTCGCTCTCAAAAGAAACGATTGAAACTTCTCAGTTGTGGTCTTATAATTAATTATGGACAATAACCGCACTTTGGAACTTAATAGGGCTGTTGTTCCCCTGATAATGTCTACGTCATTTTATTTCGGACTCTGTAAGGTATTTAGTATCGAATTGTCAGATTATATCTTACTATCTATATATATAATTCAAAGGTGACTAACATAGTAATCTATCAACGCACAGCCCAAACCACTAGACGGATCGGGCTGAAATTTGGCATGCAGTTAGATGTTATGACGTAGGCATCTGCTAAGAAAGGATTTTGATTAATTCTATCCCCAAGGGGATAAAATAGGGGATGAAAGTTTGTATGAAACTGTGTCAGTTTTAAACTGATCGGGCGAAGACTTTGCATGCATAAAGCTACTATAACGTAGGCATCTCCTAAGAAAGGATTTTGATAAATTCCACCCCTAAGGGGATAAATTAACGCGAGCGAAGCCGCGGGCAAAAGCTAGTATAGTATATTTAAGAAGGCCCATATCGTAATATTGCTGAATGTTAAGTCAATAAAACATTGGGAAAAATATTGAAACCGTATAATGCTCATGTTATTGAGAATAGGCGGAGAAAAATTTTGGGCACTTGATTATTAATAATATTATCGAAATAAAATTTGATGGAAAAAGAGGAAGGGGAAGACAAAGACACAGCTATATCAAGCAAGTCAAAGAAAAAGTTGGAGTCATGTCGTATCAACAGCTAAAAAGACTGATAGAAGTTCGTGGAAGGTGGCGGGAGCTCGACCGACAAGAGCACAGCTCTTAAACTATAAATGAATGAATAATGCCCATATCAGAAAATATTTCGGTACTAAAATAACCAAGTTTATTTTATCTCTTATAATAACATCGGTCTCACGGTTTAGGCACACCACCTTACATCCGATGGTTGAGGGTTCGACTCCTCGCACGGTACAAACACCGGTACCGATCTGGGAGTTTTCTATGCATATTGTCATAATATAATCTTTGCAATTAATACAAATTCAGCCATACAAGTTAAACTGTTTTGTTATAATGTATTACTAAAATTTCTATATGTAAGATTGTCTTGTCCATCTGTTTCTATCAGATGGTCTCTAACCAATTAGCTTTTTTTTCATCTTGTAATAATTCCGAACGGACGGTAGATTTGACATATCATAAGAGTCTGTAATAGACCTACATAAATAAAGATATTTTGAGTTATGAAACAACGGTAACAATGTAAAGAAAAGTGACTAATATTAAAAAGAATATCATTTTCGGGTTTAACTAATTGGTATATTTTATTTTCGCACTCAACTTGGTAAGTAATATGACTAAGTTACGTCAAGTATTTAACTGTGGGGATTCTTTGAAGTAAATTGCCTTTGTTGAGTGGTCCGTTTTTATTGCGTTTTCCTTTGAAGTTCGCGCTTTTTCCGTTCAGTGAGACCGTACCCTTTTCGTTGGCTTGATTTTTCTTTTAAAAAAACCGTCTACAGTGGAACCAAGTAGAAGAATTTGAAGGAATATAATTGACATTTCAGACGCTCAATAATAAACTGTGATAAATAAAAATTATGAAATTGTAAAATGTACCTTGAGGTTTTATAATGAAAGTTGGTTTTTCAAAATTTGTATTTTGTTTGTTAATGCAGTTGCAAATTTTATATTAAGTAAGCGGTTTGGTACAATAATATTAATAACAAATCCCTACTTTTCTTTTATATCCATTTCATTCCATTGAGCGCTATTGGTTCGCATAGAATAAGATACCTTTTTCGCTGCGACAAAATACGATATTTATTGGTAAAAAAAAATAAAATATATTTTAAGTTAAATTTCTACAATACATTGGTGAAAATTTATTGTCTTGATAGTAAAATTTTATTGTACAGTAAATACATTTAAAGTAACAGTATACAATGGTCTTAAGAAATAATGTTCAATGGCGGACTTGAGACTCCCAAATGAGGGATTTCTTCCAGTCAAGATTTGTATATATTTTATTTAGAATCAAAACATGAAGGCATATCTTAACGACTTTTATCCCGGATGGAGTTGTCAGAGGCATTCTTAATTGTCGATGTTGTAGAAAACATATTACAACACTTGACATGTTCACATTTCGCTCGTTATATTTACTTTTATTGATACAAACAATTATGAAATAAAATGTTCTGAAATTAGATCTGAATAGAATAGAATAGAAAATCATTTATTCAAATAAACTTAAACACTTTTAAACACTTTTGAATAGTCATAACAATTTGTTTTTTATCTACCACTCGTTCGGAAAGCTGTCTCATCACAAGAAGAACGAGCAAGAAATTTGTGTGTTGCTCTTTTAAATAATCCTTGTAAGTTTACATTTACAAGTCGAAACGTGTGAATACAAACTACCAACCAGCACAATTTTTTTTGGGTCAAATATAAATATACAATATGATTAAATCAGTCGTAGTGGTAAGAGCAGCCCAGTCCCTACAAGCAGCACTCGTTCACGAGTATGACGGATGAGCCAGCCATTGCACTGCGCTCTTGAACTGACCATATTTTAGGGGTTTCTGGTTTCTCTTGCTCTAACAATGACCACCGTATAAGAGTTTTGTTTTATATCTGCTGTGTATAGACATCAGTTCTGTTCCAATTTTATTATATGTATAGTACAGTTCTTTTTCCTTTTCTGGGGAAGAATATTCTGTCCTATTATTTCAGACAACTTAATTGTTTATTTGAGGCATCTCATTATTAATCCTCAATTAGGTTATGTAACATACAAAATTAAAAACATAGGCTCGTTCAGTCATAAATACGCAGACAAAGTCACGGTTAAATGCTAGTAGTGAATATATTCAAGATTTTATTTCACAAAAAACGACTTCAATCGTGAACGAAAATGATATGAGCAAAAAGAATCATAATAATAAAACATTTTATAGCGCCGTAAAAAAGTATATATAACGTACACTTTGTAAAGATGCCTATTTTAGAAAACGCGGCCTTATCGCTAAATTCATTAACAGACAACTAAAACGAATCATTAAAATCCTAATTAATTTTGATGATTATTTAAATTTAAATTTTGTTTACTGTAATAATAACGCGTAAAAGCGTAAAAAAACAGCAAAATCTGAGAAAATGAGACAGCAGCAATAAAAATATTCCTAGATAATTTACACAGCGCCATCTGTCAGTCCCAAGCTAAGCTAAGGTTTAGGACACCTCCTTAATTCCGATAGTCGTGGGTTCGATTCCACGCACGATACAAGCATTTTTATTGTTGAGTATACTCAGTCTGGGTGTTTTATATGTATAATATGTATGTATTTACCAAAAAAAATTTTTCTATGTATTTGTACCAGTTATCTAGTACTCATAACACATGCGTTAACTAGCCTAACTTCAGTCTAGATGATGCAGTGTGAATTGTATTTGAATCCTAAGATTATTATTATTATTAAATATAACATTAATACTAAAAACAATACCAAATAATACCTCTCAGAACTCTCAGCTTAATTACACCCTGAACAGGATTACCACGTCAATTCTTCAGCTTCCTCACAGGGTTTTCTCGGGAAAGGTGGCTCTAGTAGAGCCGTAGTTAAGTACTCTATAAATAACGAACAATCGGCCTCTTGTATTTCGGACGTCGAAAGTGCGAGTGACTTTCAAAGCTCGATGGTCAAGTCGGAGCCTCTATTGCCCACAAAGGCATGCTCTTAACGTTATTCATTTGTACATACTATATGTCGATTAGAACTATTTCTGTTCGCATACTGACTGTTAGAAATCATTATCTATTTATTTTGCATTCCGTAATATTATAATTATGGTTGATGTAATATTATTATACTTGCCATGGTTTCGCACGGGTGTACATGTATTATATATA